CTGTTTGATTTGCAGAGAAACAAAATAATCTGTAAACCCATGAAACTGTTGACTAAGTAAATGTAAATGGAAAAATTAGGTAAGATAACTTTCTCAAAGTTACACATGGTTTCTTTTCTTCAGAAGAAGTCTACATGAACATATGCATGTTTACCTCATTTTCTTTTCATCTCTTTTTCTAGACTGCTCCAGTAACAGAACAAAAACATCTGGCGTCACTATTAATCAAAGCAAAAAAAATATTGATTTACTTTACATTTGCATCAATTTCCATTTCATACTTATTACACAGATCATGGCAGATAATGATATAATTCTTTCTATAATCACCAGTCAGAGTGACTTCAAAGTTGCAGGTTTCATTTTCCTCAAGTTTGAGTGACTCTTAACACAAGTTTAATAATTATTATAATAACACAAGTCTAAATTATATATTATTCAATGAATTACAAATACATTAATATTACTTACAGATCTCAAGGAATTCTGTTATAGTTCCTTTGAGTAAGTTAGGTGACAATGTAGCAATGTGTAGAAGAAAAGGAAGAGTGGCTAGCTGCTCATCTGTTTCCATATTTGACTTTGAAGAGCTAGAAATACTTTTCTAAATTAAAGCAATAGCACAAGTAATAGTATTAACTGTTTGTCACATAGCCTGTAAGCAAGCTCTTAGGCGGGGCAGGGGTGGGGAGTTTGTGTAGGAAACTTGGTGGTGAAAGTAGAGTATTGAGCTTATAATTCAGCAGTTAAAGAACTGATTTCTTCACAGGGTCATTCCCTTTTTTCTTTGCATTTTTTTGTGTAGCTCTGGGAGTAATGCAGTAATTTTATTGGCAACAATACAGTGCTGCCAATGATTTCATTTACTTTATTCATGTATCATCCTATCGCAGACTCATCTGAGCCATGCAAACCTTCTCAAATTGCTGCAGACATGTCTGCCTAAGTGTTCAGTATTTCCATTGTCTCTGTACTGTTTGATTATCTCTGAATCACATGACTGTACAATATTATTATTGGCAGGAGTATCACTGACCTCACATGTTAGATAACAGGTAGAGCATGATGGAAGTTTTGTATATAACTTAATTGAGCAACTAACTAATCAACTAGATACTAGGTTTTGTTTTTGTCTTCTGTTGTTATTGTTGTTAATGTTGTTGTTGTTGTTTTTCGCTGACCACACCAACTGATAATACTCTTCATGAGGGGTTGCTGTATCCGTAAATAAATAATAAATAAATAACTTGGTTATACCATGGAGATGTGTGACATGATCAAACTTCACCTACATGAAATAAAGCCAGCAGGTTGCTGTTGATCTCATGAGAATGTTGAAGAGAGAGGTATGTTAGAACCTGAACCATAGTAGGGGTCATGACAGATGAATCTCCACTCCATCCCCCAGGGGCTTGACTAGCAGTGTACTCTTTCAGGGCTGTGGACAGCAGCTTGGGAATAAATACTTCATGAAAATGAGACCTGCAAAACATAAAAAAATCGAGAATAATTATCCCATATCCTCTTTAGCTTCAGTTTGTTGTGATTCAATTTTACCCTTGTTTTACACTGTAAGTTGTAGTTTTAGTTGTTTCTAAGCATACCCAAATCAAAGAAAACAAAATTAAAACTTAGAATAAGATACAGAAGAAAAGCATTTGTATGGACCCGTATGTGGTTTTATTTAAGTTGTGGTTTATAAAGGGGTAAAATGGCCAAGGATATA